GGGCAGCCAGGCGGGCTGGGCAGCCAGGCGGGCTGGGCAGCCAGGCGGGCTGGGCAGCCAGGCGGGCTGGGCTCTGGCCCCAGAGCTGGCCCCAGCGTCTTCAGGCACGTCCCTTAATCGGCTTCGGTTTGCTATTCCACCAAGTGAGGTACCAAGAGGTGGCAGGGATGTCAGGGGATTTAAATAAACAGGGCACTCTGCACACAGTAGGCACTCTGTTTTGCTGAACGAACGGGTTCCTGAATAATACAACAGGGGGCGCTCAAGAGGCAGTCGCTGAGGGATGACTGAGGGGTGATGTGGCTGTTCCCCAGGGTTAGAAACTCTGGTCCTCGCTCCCCGCCATTCTGAGCAAACCTGACTTCTGCCTGTGCCTCAGTTTCCCTTCAGGAAAGGGGAGGTGCTGGCTTCTTGTGAGGTCTGTTTGCTGCTGACCTGAGCCCAGGGCTACAGCATCAAGTGGGATGCAGATGCTGTGCTCACGTCAGAAAGAGACGTCCTGGGCTGGCCATCCGCTAGCCGTACCCAGAGCTTAAAGGTCCTATCACTGGGGCTGTTACAGGGAGGATGGAATATGGGAGGATGTGGAGTTTAGTAGTGGGGTCCAGGTAAAGAGCCTGCCGGACTGAGGAACTGAAGAACAGCATGCTCGCACCTCTCCAGCGGGAGACCCCTCAAGGCCAGGTGGAGACCTCTGGGGCCAGAGCTCCTCCTGGGCCCGGTGTCTTGGCTCCTGTCTCCGTGGTGACCTGTGTCCTCTGCTCCCTGCCCCGCTCCCGGCCTGTACCTGACCGTCTCTCCTCTGGGCCCAGCTCCACCTCAGTGTTCTAACACACGGGTATGCAGGTGGCAGTGGGGACGACTGAGGAGTCATTGTTCCCTTGGCTGACCCAGAGCTGCAGACTCCGCCCATAGCGGAGAGGGAGAGTGAGGGGTGGCCCCGGTGTGTTCACCCAGCCACCAGCGCCCCACCTGGCAGGCCAGCCACACCCGGCTCCTCGCCGGGCTCCACATGCTCCAGACAGGCAGTGGATCGGGCAGTGAGGAGCCCAGTCCCCATCCCTCCTCTCTGTGTCCCCCACACCCACAAGATGGTTGTCAGTAACACAAAAGCAGTGATTTCTGGCACTTGACTCCACCCGGCTCAAATGGTGGGCATGTGCCTGGCGTCCATAGTCAGGGTCAGCACAGCCCAGGCTGGGAGTGGGGTCTGCAGGAAGGGCAAGGCAGAGGCTGGGAGGGAGGAGGCTGACAAAGCTCGGACCCACAGGGCTCGGGGTTAAGAGAAGGGTTCTTAATCTGGGGTCCCCAGATGGCGTGCGTCAGGGGTGCAGTGACCCCTGAACTTGTGCATCTACCTTCCTGGGGGAGGGGGCTCTGCTCCAAGGTTTTCATCAGCTTCTCAGAGGGGTTCCTGATCCCTCTAAGGTTAACAAGGACTAACCCTTGGGGGCCCCTAAGGGCTGGGTGTGGGTGCAGAGAAGGAGAGGGCGCCCGGGGTCCCTCCCTCCTCATGGCGCCCACAGAGACCTGTCCCTTCTGGAATGCTACATCTCATTCAGGTTCTCCTTCCTCTTCTCCCCACTTCTACTGACGGGACGGGAAGAATATACTGTAAAATTCCCTGCCTGGGCGTTTAGGTCTCCAGGTAGTGCAAACTGTTTTACTTTCAGCTACTAACCTACAGGTTGGCGGTTTAAACCCACCCAGTGGCACCACGGAAGAAAGGCCTGGTGATCTGCTCTGTAAAGATTACAGCCAAGAAAACCCTATGGAGCAGTTTTACTCTTAACACAGGGTGTTGCCATGAGCCGGCATTGACTCGATGACAATGGGTTTGGTTTTTCTTGCCTGGGAGTTAAGAGACCAAGGATGCTGTCCCAACATTGCCCTAAACGTGCTGTGTCACTTGGAAATGACCCTTGCCTTGTCTGGGCCTCGGCTTCCCCATTTATAAAATGGGGGACCCTCACTGCATCTGACCTACATGTAGTGACTGAGAAGGGGACCCCAGCTGGGAAGAAGTCCTTGCACACGGTGGAGGGTGTAAGGAGCTGAGCCGGGGAGAGGGTCGGGGGGAGGGTCCCACGTACCATCCACGGGCGTGCAGGGCTCATACACCAGCCTGTAGCCCTCCAGGATGCCGTTGGGGAACTGTGGGGCCTCCCAGGACACGTTCACCGAGGTCGTGGTCAGCTCGCTGAACTTGATGGAGCTGGGCGCGCTGGGGGCTGTGGAGACAGCAAAGGGTTTGACATTTCCTCCTTCAACGGACCTTCAGAGCCTTGGGTTCGGCTCTGAAGAACTGGCAGGCATGTTTGGGCCTGCCCCTGGGAAGGAGAGGTCCAGGGCTCAGTACAGAGTAGGCAGGTGGGTCCCTTGGGGTCATGTAGACACCGCCCCCCATCTCTATTATTGCACTGAGGCTTTGATGTCCTCAGCTCTCAGCTTCCCAACATCTCCAGAACAGGGAGGAAAGGGAACTTTGTTTTTCCCTAAAGCTGGAGAATTCAGGCTTCCTCCTGCTCAGTCGTGGCTAAGAGAGTTGGGCAAGTCTGTCTTCCACCCCCAGAGTTGCTGGGGGCAAGGAGATTTCCTGGCTTTGCAGATTTCACCTTTCAACTTCCATGGCAGAGAAGGCAGGTGGTAGCTGGTCTCAGGCATTAGGTGGTACTAAAAAAGATTCTGGAGTCCCTGGGTGGTGCAAACAGTTCATGCACTCAGCTGCTAACCAAAAGGCTGAAGGTTCGAGTCCACCCAGAGGTGTCTTGGAAGAAAGGTCTGGCTGGCTACTTGTGAAAAATCAGCCATTGAAAACCCTATGGAGCAGAGTTCTACTCTGACACATATGGGTCGCTGTGAGTTGGGGTCAACTCAGTGGAAACTAGTTAAGTTAGGTTAAAGGAGATTCCAGAACTGCAGTGGACATGGCCTCGTTCTCATCCTCAAGCACCAGGGCTTGTCACCGAGAGACCGTGCTCAGCAGCCAGAACCAGACACAGCAGAGGCTCCGGCAGAGATGTTTTCTTGTCCTGAGAACCCTGGATCGACCCCGAGAACATGAGGCGGGGGAGGCTTGGAGGGGGACGCCAGGGAGGAAGGGAGGAAGCATACAACTCCTCAACGTCTCCAGCCGGCTCCAGGAAGGATGACCAGACTATTATTATCCAGCGCCGCCTCCCCACCGAGCCGGAGGTAATCCAGGCCCGGTCTGGCTCCAGCTCCGGGAGGCAGCATCCTGAGCAGTCTTTGAAGGAGGGTGGCGAGCTCAGGGGGGTCTTTCCTGCCTCCCTTTGGCTGCAGGGACGTGGGACAGAACACTTTGTTCTGTTGCCACAGTGATGGAAGCTTCCAGTCTCCCAGGGGCTCACATCCGGCCGATCACACTGACCGAGAGTGGACGGGATTTGGACGCTTAGCCTGACCTCAGCCAGGGCCTTGGGGCTGGTGAAGGGGAAGAGCTTCCCCGGCCCCAGGGACTGTCCCCCAAAGAGGACCACTAGGAACTGACTCCACAGGGAAGCTCATTGGAGCCACAGGTAACCGACTGTATTGGAAACAGCAGGTTGGAAAGGATGCTCAGAGGAGGCCAGACAGAAGTCCGTGTATTCAAATCCAGGAGGGGGACCCTCAATGAAGAGCAAAGGAGGTGGGCTGGGGAAGTGACAACAGCTCAGGATGCAGCCAGAAACCCCCACGGACCGGCTGGGGGACCCTGGGCAAGATGCGTGACTTCCTGGGTGACCCTTCTCAGCTGTGAACTGGGGGAACCCCTGTCCTGCTCATCGCAGAGGTTCTATGAGGATCGAGTAAAACGCTGCTTGACAAAGAGCTGTGCGCACTCTGTGGGGTGTTTTCTGCACAGGTGGGTGGCGGGATTCTTATCATCACCCCCCTGCCTCCTACCCAGTCTCCCTACTTCCATACTCCCATCAGCCCAGCCTCTGCACAGCAGCCAGAGCAGAGCTTTAAAAACAAACCGGGTCCTGTCACTCACCAGCTTAAAACCCTCTAGCAGCTTCCCACTGTACTCAGAATGAACCCCAAACTCCTTACAAGCCCCCCTGACCCTCTCTGGCCTGCCCCCGGCCCATCCTTCCCAGCTTCTGAGCCACACTGGCTTTCTCTCTGTTCCTCCAATCCAGTCCAGACACCACGCTTTCGCACCTGCTGTGCCCTCTGCCTGGAACACTCCCTCTCTAGAACCAGCCGTGGCTGGCCTCTTCTCCTCCCTCAAACCTTAGCTCAAATGTTCTTTCTCTGTGAGCCTCGTACCCTGCCCCTCCTTACATCACCCACACTTAACTGCCATCGGAGATTAATCCATCTATTTATTTGTCAGCCTCCCTCACTAGGGTGGGGACCTTGTCGGTCTCGTTCACTGTTAACGTCCCCAGCACTCAGCGCAGCGTGGGCTCATAGAAGACGTTCAGTAAATATTTGTTGAGTGAACAAAGCCGGGGACACATAAGAAAGGCAGGTTGGAACAAGGCAGGGAGAAGTGGGACACTGGGTGTCGGCCGCCAACTGCATGGTGGAAGGTGAGCAAGCTGGGTGTTTTCTCCGAGGCTCTATAAGGCCAGCCTCTCCTTTCCGGAATGTCCAGGCCCTTCTTCCCGGCCACTCTCCCCCTCTGGAGGGCATCTCAGCGGGTGTGCGTACCAAACCCGGCTCCCTCTGCTGCAGAAAAAAGCTGCCTCCGCTCCCCGCAAGAGCCCAGACCCCATGAGGGGCCTCGTCCACTAGCCGCGCATGGCAGACCTGCCCTCCCCAGACGCGCACGTCCCCGCCTCCTGCCTAGCTCCCCCACCTGCTTGCTGGGTCTGGCCCTGGGTGGGGGTGCTCCGTGGCCCATCCCCTGCAGCATTGAAAGCCGCCACGCTGACCACGTAGGCCGTGTAGCCGGTCAGGTTCTTGAGCCTTGCGCTGGTCTCGGCCAGGAAAAGCGTCTTCACCCGCTCCGTGAGATTCCACCGCTGGGCTTCCCAGAAATATATCTGTGGGCACAAAGGATGGTGGGAGTGAGGGAGACCTCGGGTCAGACATCTCTCCTGCCCCTGCCTGACCCGGGGTCTCCAAGAGCCCTTCCTTGTGGGCAGTCACCGGGAAAGAGTATCCAAGTATCACAAGAGGAGTCTCTGGGTGGTGCAGACGGTTAACGCGTCCTGCTGCTAACTGAAAGGTTGGGGGTTGGAGTCCACCCAGAGGTGTCTCGGAAGAAAGGCCTGGTGATCTACTTCCAAAATATCAGCCTCTGAAAACCCTATGGAGCACAGTTCTACTCTGACACACGTGGGGCTGCCATGAGTTGGAATGGACTCCATAGCCATGGGTTTGTTTATTTAAGAGCAGTTTGAGAAACTTCCAGTACCATCTTTCACAGCTAAGACTGTACCGTCTGCTAGACTCTAAAACCCGCAAGGGCACAGACCCCATGTATCTCTGTGTACCACAGTGCCCGTGGGATTTACAGGGCACTGCCACAGTGGCAGTTATGGGGGAAAGGAATCAATTCTGTCCTGCAGGAGCCTGGCACAGGGAGGCAAGGGCAGTGTGGAGTGGAGCTACTCAGAGTGGACGCCAGGGCCAGCAGCTTCAGCACCCCCTGGGAGCTGTCTAGGAATGCAGAGTCTCAGGCCCACCCCAGACCGGCTGCATCAGCATCTGCAGGTGAACAAGACCCTCGCTGATTCACTTTACAGTACAGTTTGCAAAGCTCCACTGGAGAGAAAGGCTGGGCTGATGGCAGGCTGACCTGGGGTTGAATACCAGCCCCACCATTTACCAGCCGTGTGACTTGGCCGAATGACTCCCCTGAGCTGCAGTTCTGTCGCGTATGTAATGTGTTTAAGGACCACCACGTCCCAGAATGAACGTCAGCCGCGAAGCTCAGGACGACCTAGAGAACGTGGCCCTGGGTCTACCCCAGAACCTGGCCAGCTTCAGAAGCCACCACAGGGCCGAGCTCTTCACGCCACCTGCTCTTCAATTATTTCGCATTCAGCTGGGGGAAGCAACGAGATTCCTAACTAGTCTCGGAATTTGGAACGAGGCAATCCAGGAAGTTGCAAGAATGGGCGGGCCCCAACCCACGGGTTTGTAGATCATTTGGCGCCATCTGCTGGCTGGACAGGGTTCTGCAGACTACTGGCGTCTTAATTTCTCAGTTTCCCCAGAGGATGCTATCATAAACGGAGAAAATTAATAGGAGTGTCCCCACGTGGCATGTTTGAACAGCAGTGAGGATATCTTGCTACCATCAAATCCTTGCTTTTCTCCACCTCTTTTTGTCCAGACTCTTCTTGTATGGGTAGATGAGTGAGAACTGAGTAGTCCTTGATTGGGTCACTCACTCATCCACTCATTCATCCGTTCTCAGCAGCGGGGATGCGACAGTAAACAAACAAAACCAAAACCAACAACCAGCTACTGTCGAGTCAACTCCAACTCAAGACGACCCCATGTGCCTCAGAGTAGAATTGTGCTCCAGAGGGTTTTCAATGGCTGATTTTTTAAAAAAATTGCACTTTAGATGAAGGTTTACAGAACAAACTAGCTTCTCATTAAACGGTTAGTACCCATATTGTTTTATGACATTGGTTAACAACCCCATGACATGTCAACACTCTCCCTTCTCAACCTTGGGTTCCCTATTACCAGCTATCCTGTCCCGTCCTGCCTTCTAGTCCTTGTCAGTGGCTGATTTTTTGATCGTAGATCACCAGGCCTTTCTTCCAAGGCACTTCTGGGTGGGGTCAAACTGTCAACCTTTAGGTTAGCAGTTGAGCACTTAACTGTTTGCGCCACCCAGGTGGCAAAGTTCCCGCCAAATTTGGTGCTCAGGGGAAAGGTTAAGGTGAACGCTAAAAATGTGGGTGTCCGTAACACAAAGACGGTGTTTGGTGGGTGCTCCAGGAAAGTCAGCATAGAGAGAGAAGAGTAGACGGTCACAGACTGATTCCTGGGGCTTCCAGTGCTCAGAGGTTGGGAGAGTGAGGAGTAGCAGCCAGCGAGGGAAGTTGCAAGAAGCAAGCATTCTGAGGAAGAGGGAGAGAGCTACCGTATCAATCACTGCTGCTAAGTCAGGCAGGATAAGACCTGCAACTGGACCACGTATTAAAGCCAAAACCAGTCGTTGTTGAGTCAGCCTCGACTCATGGCGACTCCATGGGTGTCAGAGTAGAACTGTGCACTAGAGGGTTTTCAATGGCTGATTTTTCAGACCTAGGTCGCCAGGCCTTTCTTCTGAGGCACCTCTGGGTGGACTTGAACCTCCAACCTTTCGGTTAGCAGCTGAGGGTGTTAACCATTTGCACTACTCAGGGACTCTGATCACTTATTTAGCGACATGGAAATTATCAGTGATCTCGACAGGAATAGGTTCGGTGGGGATGAGAACCTACCGGAAGTGGGTTCAAGAGAGAACGGAAGAGACAGATTGGAAGCAGTGAGTGACAGGAGGTAGGTGGAAGGTACTTCTGAGGTTCTTTGGAGGAATCCTGCTGTAAAGCGGACCAGTCAGAGAAATGGGTGATAGCTGTCAGAAACCATGGGGTCAACAAAAGGCATTTTAAAGATGGAACCAATTTCACAATGCTTTTATGCCCATAGGAATCCTTGAGTGGTGCAAATGGTTAACATACTCGGCTGTGAACCAAAAGGTGGGAGGTTCAAGGCCACCCAGAGGTGCCTCAGAAGAAAGGCCTGGTGATCTACTTCTGAAAAATCAGCCATTGAAAACTCTGTGGAGGACATCAGGTCAACTGGCATAACAAAGTTTATTAAGAAAATGTTTTGCATCCTACTTTGGTGAGTAGCGTCTGGGGTCTTGAAAGCTAGCGAGCGGCCATCTAAGATGCATCAATTGGTCCCAACCTACGTGGAGTTAAGGAGAATGAAGAACACCAAAGTCACTAGAAAGTATCAGCCCAAGAGACAGATAGGGCCACAGAAACCAGAGACTGCATCAGCCTGAGACCAGAAGAACTAGATGGTGCTCAGCTACCACAACTGACTGTCCTGACAGGGAACACAAGAGAGTCCCCAATGGAGCAGGAGAAAAGTGGGGCGCAGAACTCAAATTCTAGTAAAAAGACCAGACTTAATGGTTTGACCGAGACTGGAGGAACCCCAGAAAGCATGGCCCCAGGACTCTCTGTCAACCCAGAACTAAAACCATTCCCAAGGCCAACTCTTCAGACAATGATTAGAATGGACTATGGGACATAAAATGATACTCATGAAGAGTGTGCTTCTTAGTTCAAGTAGATACATGAGACTAAATGGGCAGCTCCTGTTGGAGGTGAGATGAGAAAGCAGAGAGGGTCAGGAGCTGGTTGAATGGACATGGGGAATCAGGGGTGGAAAGGAGGAGTGTGCTGTCACAGTATGGGGGGAGCAATTAGGGTCACATAACAATGTATGCATAAATTTTTGTACGACAGACTGACTTGAATTGTAAACTTTCACTTAAAGTACAACAATAAAAAAAAAAGCCCTATGGAGCACGGTTCTGACACACACGGGGTTGCCATTAGTCAGAGGCAACTTGATGGCAACTGGTTTGGTTTTCTGGTTTGGTCCCAAGCAATCAGTCATGCCTGGCACATCGTTGGTGCTCAGTACAGTCCTGTTGGATGGAGAAACGCACGACACAGGCAGGAACAGGCACAGAAGTGCATCCTTACAACCACAGCCTTACATCTACTCCCCACTCCCTACCTGTTTCTCGCTCCATCACGTACTGGCAGAACTCCAGCCCTGGTTAGTTCAGCTCCATGCCTGCACTTCACCCAGTTGTCACTGGACTGGAGAGTCACACTTTAAATCCACACGTACAGCCTCCACTTCCTTAGTCCACGCCCCCCCACCACGCCCCTGCAAGAAGCCTTCATAGCTTCCTCCCCTCCTCGCTGCCTCCCCCATCCTCACTCCCAGCTGAGGACTGTTCACTGAGAAACTGAAACCATCAGAGGAGACCTCCACAAGCCCCCGTGACCACCCTTTCCCCTCCTGCCCCTGTGCCACAGGGACCTTCTACCCCCCCCCCACCATGCTGAATTACCCGCTGCCTTCTAGGGCCAACCCCGTAATTGTGTACGAAATCCCAGCCGCTCCACTACTCAAGGACGCCTTTCTCCAATGGATCACTTCTATCAGCACAGAAACAAGTTATTTCTCCCAACTTACGACCCCTCTGTTGTCTGCATGTTTTTTTCTAGCTCCCACCCTATTTCTCTGCCTCCTTTTAAAGCCAAACCTCTCAAAAGCGATGCCAGCCCTCCCTGCCTCTTCCCATTATCCCTTGAACCCACTCTAAGCGGGCCCTGGTCCCACCTCATTTGTCAAGGTCACTGTTGATTCAGTAATCCAAGGGCCAACAAAACTATTCTGTCAAGGGCCAGATAATAAACACTTTAGGCTTCGCAGGCCATATGATCTCTACTGCAATCACTCAGCTCTGACACTGGACTGCAAAGGTAGCCATGGACAAGTCACAAACAAATGAGTGTGGCTGTGTTCCAATAAAACTTTATTTACAAAAACAGGTGGCAGGCTGGGTTTGGCCCATGGGCTGGAGTTTGGCAACCTCTGAATAAGTGCTTCCCAGATTTCATCTTGCTTGAGCTGTCAATGGTATTTGGCGCATTGGATTACTCCCTCCTTCTGGAAGCGCTTTCTTCATGTGGCTTTTGAGACACCATTCACTTTTTTGGTTTCAGGGGTCTGTTTTCTGATTCCTTTGGTTCTCTATGTATATTCTTCTCCTCCCTGGCTTCATGCTGAGGATTCCATAATTCACATCTTCACCTTAGACCTTCTCTTGTGAGCTCTAGACACGTATACCCAGCTCTATTCTTGTGTCTTGGCTTGGATGTCAACAGACACCCAGAATCTAACACCTCTAGAACCAGACTCCTGATCTCAAGCCTGCTCCTTCTACAGTCTTTGCCTGTTCTGTTACCGGCAGCTCCATCACCCAATTGCTCATAAACACTGGAGTCGTCCTTGTCACCTCTCCTCCTCTCACCCCACGTTCAATTCATCAGCAAAGTCTGTCTTTAAAATGGAATCAGACTTTGAGCACTTCTCACTCTTCCACTGCTACTGCCCTGGTCCATGCCAGCATCGTCCTCACCTGGATCCTTCAGCCACCTCTATTCTACTGGCTTCTATGCTCAGCACAGCAGCCGGCGCGACCCTTTAAAAACCTTACACCACGCCACTTTTCTCTGCCCAAAACTCTCCATGGCCTGTGATTTCATCCTGAGCAAAAGCCACAGCCCTCGAGGGCTTTACACCTCCTAACTCATCTCCCTCTCTCTCCCTCACCTCTTAACTCATCTCCCTCCCACTCCCCCTCACCTCCTAACTCATCTCCACCAGCTCCCCTCCCGCCCCCCAGACTTCCAGCACTCCAGGGCTCTTTGCTCTTCTTTTCCTGCTTTCTGGAATCCTGTTCTCCCAGATCCCTATGACTCATGTCTCCTGTCTTTTAGGGTTTTGCTCAGATATCACCTTCTCGTTAAGTCCTTCCCTGACAACCCATTTAAAGTTTGAAACCTCCCCCTGGCCGCTCTCTATCCCCCAGCCGGCTTCATTATTTATTTTATACATAGTTGGTTTTCCCCCTCAAAACATAAGCCCAAGGAGTCTCTTAGCTCCCTGCTTTCTTCCCAGTGCCCAGGACAGTGGGCAGGAAGTAACTGCTCAATTCACAGGAGTTACTGACTGACTCACGGCCTGGAGGTCTAGCAGTGTGCAGGAGGGTCTCTGCTTGCGTACAGGGACAGCTGGATCTGACCCACATGTGGGGTCGTGTTTCGCGGGGCTCGTCAGTCCGCGATGTAATCCGTTTGGAGGCCAGCGAGGCCCCGGGTACCCCGTTCATGAGCATCTTTGCTGCTCAGGTAGACAGTGCTTTCTGAGCACAGACATCCGTTGTGTTATACTTGGTGTCTGGGCACCCACACACATCTCCTGGGTCTGTACACTAACTGGGAACTTCCAAACCTTGACAGTCTGGCAGCTGCCCAGTTGTTGCTGGCTCCCCCCTGGCTCCTTCTTCCCATGGGAGGCATATGCTAGGGGTGTGATATTAAGTTTTCCCAGCTGGCTTGAGAACTCAAGTGGTGTTATCCATCCTTAGTGCTTCCCTGGTGCCATGCCTCTCCTCCTCCCTCTCTGCTCCTTCCCCCCAGAAGGAAAGAGGTTCCTGCACTGCATTCTGTGTTAAATCAGGGCTGTCTGTATTAACCAGCCCTGCGAAGGTTCCTCATGTTGGCTGAGCCTCGGTTTCCCCTCCTGTTGAAGAGGAGCTGGGCCAGGGCCACCATCAGGTCCCTTCTAGTTCTCTCTCTCCCCACCCTTGGCCATTGCACTGGGGCTACACTCTAAACAACACATAGCACCCAAGAATCTGAGTCACTCTGGACACAAGAGTAGGAGGCTGGCCTCCAACACAGCCAAGGCCGTGTCCCAATTGTTGGCACCAAGGGGACACATTACTTGTTTTCCTTCCACCTTCTCTGATGATTGTGTATTTAGCACCCCCTCCACCCTTACAGGGTGAGATCCCACAGACCTAGAGTCTGATCCTCCGCTATCTCCTGCTTTTGTGACCTCGGCCAGGCCACCAAACCTGGGTCTCAGTGTCCTCATCTGTACAACGGGCACAAAACCGCACAACGTACCAGCTTTACAGGGATTTTAAGGGGATTAAAGGGCTCCAAAGGGCTCTTCAAGTCCTAAGGGCCACCTGAAACCCATCATACCTCATGTCATCATCCAAAATCTATAAAGAGTTTTTAAAGAGCGTTCCAGATACTCGCCAGTGATCCTTTGCTAATTGGTCATTCAATTAGCATCAATATTGTAATTAAACCCTGCTGCCATTCAGTCTATTCCAACTCATGGAGAGCCTATCTGTTACCAAGTGAAACTGCTCCATAGGGTTTTCTTGACTATAATCTTTACAACACCTGGCGATCTGCTCCTGTAAAGATTATGGCCTAGGAAACCCTATGGGGCAGCTCTACTCTGTCCTATAGGGTTGCTATAAGTTGGAATCAACTTGACAGCACACAATAACAACGACAGCAACAACATTTACAGAAGCAGATTGCCAGGCTTCTCTTTCTCAGAACCACAGGTGGGTTTGAACCACCAACCATTAGGCTAGCAGTTGAGCACAAACTGTTTGTGCCACCTAATCAAAAGCCAAATCCATGCCATCGAGTCAATTCCAACTCATAGCAACCCTATAGGACTGAGGAGAACAGCCCCATAGGGTTTCCAAGGCTGCAAATCTTTTATGGAAGCAGATGGCCACATCTTTCTCTTGCAGAGAGGATGGTGAGTTTGAATTGCCAACCTCACGGTTAGCAGCTGAGTGCTTTAAACACTGCACCACCAGGGCTCCTTTTGTGCCCCCTAAGGATCTTAACATTGTAATTTAAAAAAACCTGTTGCTGTCCAGTCCATTCTGACTCACAGCGACCCCATAGAACAGAGCAGAACTGCCCCATAGCGTTTCCATGGAGTGGATGGTGGATTCGAAATGCCCACCTTAGGGTCAGCCAAATAATCACTTTGCGGAGTCTCATATTAGGGCTGGGAGTTGGTGGGGGTCAGTGGGTTGCCGCTCAGCCATGCTACAAAGCCCAGCAAGGCCTGAGTGTGTTGCATCTGAGCTCAGCCTGCCCTCAGGCCGCTGGAGAGGACGGCTGCGGTTTTGCTGGTACCGCTGGTACTGTGTTTCTGTGGGTTGCAGGCAGAGAGCCAAGGGCAGCAGATGGAGGCCAGAGTGCCGAGGTGTGAGTGCAGGGCTGGGAGGAGGAAGGACCTGGGCCCCACTCCTTCCTACCACAGTGGACCACTCCCCGCACCTCCCCCTGGCCCCCCTTTCCCTGCCAGAGCACCCCCTACCTTGTAGCCCTGGATGTCTCCGTTCTGGCTCTCCAGCGGGGGCGGCTCCCATGTCACATCCAGCTGCGTGGCTGTGGCGCCATGGACGGCCACATTTTGGGGCGCTGCAGTCGGCACTGAGGGGTGGAGAGTGTGAGTGTGTGCAGGGGAGCTGGCTTAGGGAGGGTTGGGGCCCCCAGGACCTATGTGTCCTGTGGCTGGACTTAGTGGGGGTGGAAAAGGTGTGGGGACTGGACAAGGCGGCTGCGCTCACCTGCCTCCCCGACAAAGACCTCCTGGGGTGGGCTGGAGGGCCCCTCGCCCACTGCGTTGTACACACTCATCCGGATCTCATAGCGCCTGTGCTTGTTCAGGTCTGGGGGCGAGAGGGGATGGGAGGGAAGCACACAGAGGTCACCATCCCGTGGGGACAAGGCTGATCATTGAGGGTGGGGCTCCCCATGCTGCGGAGAGAGGGATGAAGCACCCCTGCGACTCTAGACCCTTGTATGAAGGTTCAGGAAGAAATAGGTATGAGGCGGGGCCCCCTAGAGGCTGCTGGTCCTCTGCCCTCCCTGCCAATCAGGACACAGGGTGACTCTGGTTAGCTGCCTGGCCTAGGGTGACCACAGAACTTACTGTCCAGGCTGGGACATGTTTAAGACCCAAAGGGGGCGCTATTATTATTCATGCTGGGACCACAGGTGGTACCCAAAACTGTCCTGGGCACAAGGGGACATCGGGCTACTCCTGCTCTGCCTGTCCTCCTACCTCAGAAGGCTGATGCTTAAAATTCCCACTCCAGCCCTCCCAACCCCTATCAGCCAGCTCTGTGCACGCACTGGACTCTCAGCCCTGGGGTGGGGGGTAGTGGGTGTGCATTTGGGGCTAAAGAAACCCCATGTTGTTGCCAAGTTTGGGGTGCTGGGGTGAAGATGCCTGGGCAGGAGCTGGGAGAGGGAAGCAGTTCCAAGAAAATGGGCTCCGATACCCCAGGTAGACATGGTGGTCCCTGCTGGGGTGGCTGAGTGACTCTCCCACATTCTCCACTCTTCTCTCTCGGGAGTCCCCCCACCTCCTGGAGACCCCCGAGTAGAAGTTCCAACCCTCCAATAGGAACGGAAGAGACACCCTAACTTAAGCACCTATGTAGCCCACGTGGCTGAGGAAAGGGGAAGGGCAATTTGGTCTCGAGTGCTTTTCTCTACTAAGCATGGGGCCCTCTTGCCCAAGGCTCTGGGCCTTTGGAAGGACCATGGCTGGGACTTTTGAGAGAGGGCCAGGGCTTGGGGGATGTGAGTAACAGGGACAGTTCCTGGTCCCTGGATGGAAGGCTGGCAAACAAAATGTTATCCTGGCATGGGGCCCCTGGGCTGGAAAACAAGGCTGTGCCCCAAAGCGCCTCCTGACCCAGGAAGAGGGGCAGCTTGAAGTCCAGTCACCCAACCAGGAGGGTCCAGCAGCTCCGACTATGGCCCGTCCTCATCATGCCTCTCCTGACCCACTGCAGCACAAGCCTCGTCAGTTGCCATTTCGTCTGCCCCTGAAATGTGACAACCCCATGCACAACAGAACAGAACGCTGCCACGCTAGCTCCGCTGAAACCTGTTCAGCATCATAGCAACACACCAGCCCCCAGTGACAGGCAGGTGGTAACTGCGCATGAGGTGCATTGGCCGGGAGTCGAACCAGAGTCTCCAGCATGGAAGGTGAGAATTCTGCCACAGAACCGTCACTAGCCCTGGCATTTAGATATTTTCTTTTCCATCCACATCTGACAGACAGTGAACTTGGAGGAGACTTCCCGGAAACCCCCTACCTTTGTGTGATCTTTGGGAAAGTCATGCATATAAAGGGCCATCCCATTCTTCAAGCACGCTGGGGGTGGGGCACACCACTCAGAAGCCCGACTCCCCATCCCACCCCAATGGAGCAGCAAACGTCGGGAGGCGGGCCGTAGTGGGAGCCCCGGGCACAGTGACTTACTGTCCAGCTCGTACTGCGTGAGGCTGGGCCGGCTCAGGTTCCGCGTGGAGTACATGGCTATGGGGTGGGGGAGGCGGTGGGGGGCCAGAGGAGACAGCAGACAGAGGAGGTTAGTGTACACACATGGCACACTCCACAGAGAGACGCCAACGAGGGGCAGGATGGGAGAGACGGGAGAGAGGGGGTGCTCTGGCAGGCCTAGCCACTTGTGGGCAGACTGAAAGGGGGGGCAGATTCCAGAATCCTGACCTCCAGTTAGGAGCCAGGATGGGAACGGGAAGGAAGCAGCACCGAGGACAGTGCTGCCCCCACCCTGGTCCACGCTGGCCTAAGATTAAGGGCAACTCGAGCTCCCTGGAGGCCAGCATCCCTGGGGGCGGCTCTGGGGTACCCTCTAGCTCCAGCTCGCTCCCTTGTTTAGGGCGGAGCTCCTGGAGAACCACCATAAAATACTAGTGTCGTTAATTTTTTTTTATGAACCAGAAACAATTTTACTACCAGGAAATATGACTGTATTATACACAGGCAATATAAAATCACAACTATAAGTACATGTCTGGAAGAAAAAAATAATGCAAGCTGTTGAATCAGCGACTACTGAGTTTTTCTATTAATATTCCTTTGCTACATGCTCAATCATTTTGTTCTTTGCTAACACACTCTACAAGACACAAAAGGTTTAAAAGAATTATGGGCGGAAAAATCAAAGTTGAGAGGATCTTAAAAAGCTCCTCCTCCCCTGCTTTTTTGATGAGTGGTCCCACCACCCACCTGGGTACCCAAGTCTTGGACTCCTCCCTCTCCTGCCTCCTTCCCCCATAACCAATCATGGAGCTTGATGGAGTCTCCACCCATAACACATCACCTTCCGGTACTGGCCCCTCAATTCCAAAGCAAGCCTTCCACCTTGGTTCCAACCCCGCATCTCTGCTTACACTCTTGTCACAGCCTCCAACTGGCCTCCCTGTCTCAGGTCCGCCACTCGTGGCCAAGCCATCCCCCTCACTGCCTGCCACCAAAGTGACCCTCCTAAAACAAAAGCCCAACCACGTCATTCCCTTGCTTAAGACGTTCCGGGCATACTCTCTCCCTGGGATTCCTACCTGGACTGCTGCTCTTTCCTTCCGCCACAGAGGCAGCTGGATTCCCAGGGCCAGAGCCGGGCAGTGACCTTCCCAAGGAACAAGAAGGGGCCAGAACCACTGCTCTTGGGACATGACTAGGTAGGGTTTTTGGCCCCTCAAAAGCACTTCTCCTTCCTACCACAGGCCCTTTGCATATGCTGGGTTCATCCCTTCCTTTCTGCCTGGGTAATTGGAATCATCCTTCAGGGTCACGAAAACCAAACTCGTTGCTGTTGAACTGATTCTGACTCATGGTGACCTCATATGTTACAGAGTAGAACTGCTCCATAGGGTTTTATAGGCTGTACTCTTTATGGAAGCAGATTGCCAGGCCTTTCTTCTGCGGTGCCGCTGGTTGGGTTTGAATCACCAACCTTTAGGTTGGTAGTTGAGAGCAAACTGCACCACCCAGGGACCTCCTTCGGGATTAGGACATTCTTTTATGTTATTTAAAGGGAAGCTTTTTCAGACCCTGGTTCTTAGGATCCCATGGACCTTGACACTCTTCGTCCATGTTGTCACAACTGTCCTTATACATCGATTTTGGCGTTCATTTCTTTAACATCTAGCTCTTTCTCAGCTTGTAAGCTTCCAGAGGGGAGGGACACTGTCTGTCTAGGTCACTGATGTGTCCCCAGTGTCTGGGGCATCCAGAAGGTACTCAGTAAATACTCGAAAGTGTATGAACGAGGCAGGGGGAGAGAAGCACACATGGGGGAAGGGAAAAGGGTTTCAGGTTAGAGCGTTCCAAGAGCTGAAAGTCCTGCTCCAGGAAGGAGACGGCGAGAATGAAGGGTCCGAGAGCTTCAGGACAGGGAGGGGGCGTGGCCACCCGCCCCGCTCCTGTCACTCACAGGTGAGCTCCGCCCACTTGGCGCCCGGGTTTTGGACGCTGCGCAGCGTGAAGCCCCTCAGCCCGTCGGAGAGCAGCTCGCGGTAGCGGATCCGGAAGCCCAGGAGGATGCCGTTGATCTTGTCCTCGGCGGGCGGCTGCAGGGAAGGCGTGGGGAGAGGCCCTGGATAACCGCTCATCCTTCTCTCCCGTCCACCCTCCCTCCCTTTCACGACTCCTGGGCCACAGAGCCGGGACAAGATCAAGTGGGTGCGTCTCAAGCAGGAAAAGACATAAAAATAACACTGGGCATTCTTTAAGCATATTCCCAACAGGTTATTTCATCACTGCACCATTCCCTGTGAGGCAGGGCAGGGCAGGAGCCACCGTGCGATCCCATTTAACAGAGCAGGAAACTGAGGCTCAGAGATGTCCGGGAATTTGTCCAAGATCACACAGTATGGTTGGTGCCCGGAGCGTGACTCTGGACACAAAGCTCTTTGCAGAGCTGTTCCTGGTCTAGATGGTCACCAGCCCCCCAGGCCTGCTGACCCCTCTGTCTCCCACCTGGCTGACACTTCCTGGAGTGCCTGTGAGCTGAGCCCTCTGCCTGTTCTACACACCCACACCCACACCCACACCCACACCCACACCCACACCCACACCCCCATCATCTCCTCTCTCTAGCTCCCGTCCACAGTGGAGTTGGAGAACAGACTTCGGGAGCAGGTGAAAACAACTTTTGATGACACCTTTTTTAAAAAGCCTGCTGAAACGGTACAGCTTTTTATGAGCTCTTTAATGCTTCCCCAGCTGCTGCTGGCTCCTCTCTGTCCTCTTTGCCACTTCAGCCCCAATCTGCTGCAGCCATTTGCATGTAAGGGAGTGCCCTCCTCAGGGAAGGTTGCACGCTTCTGGCTGGGTAGGGGTTTTGGCGGTGGGGGGGGGGGTCCCTTCTGTTTTCAAGTGATTTCCCCTGGGCGGTGCAGATGGGCAAAGGTTAGTGCCTGTCCCTTTGAATCTAAGGTGGGGTTCTGCCCTCCAAGGCTTCTGTGGGTGACTTGCTGAGCCCAAAGGCTGGACTGGGCGGGTCCTAGGCAGGAAGGCTCAGCCTGGCCTCTGCCAGTCTCTGACCTGTCCTCTGTCCTTCTCTGACCTGTCCCCCTGCCCTGGATTTGTTCCATAAGTGTTCTCATCCAGTGGCTGAGTGGGTGGGGAGGAGGGGAGGAGGGGAGGAGGGAGGGAGTTTTTCCTGCTCCCTGGACAGTGGGCTCTTGTTCACGGGGACAGGCACACGACAGACACACATACCTGGGCTGGTCTCTCTACTAGGAATCCCTTCAGTGACCAGTGGGGCTGGGTTTCATGGGGACTTCGGGGCCCTGCCGGTGCAGTGGCTAAGAACTATGGCTGCTAACCAAAAGGTTGGCAGTTCAAATCTACCAGCCGCTCCTTGAAAACCCTATGGTGCAGTTCTACTCTGTTCTATAGGGTCACTATGAGTCGGAATCAACTCTATAGCAATGGATTCAGGGCCCTGAATTTTTCTGTACAAGTATTCAGTGACCCTAAGGTTAATAATCTGGCCCTGCTGCTTACCAGCTGTGTGACCAGGGGCCATTCATGTCACCCCCCTGAACGTCTGTCCTCTCCTGCAGAAGGGAGTGGTAACAGTACCTGCCTGATCTAATAGTCCGGAGAGTAGGACAGGGTGTGTGTGCATGCGTGCTTGTACACACGTGTGTGAGTGTACGTGTATGTGTGTGTGCATAGATGTACGTGCATGCATGCATACGTGTGTGCATATGCATGTGTGTGTAGCCTGTACTGTGAAGTCCACGTGCCAGGGTTTCTCCTTCCCTCCTGTCTGTCCTGGAGGTGAAGACCCCAGGTGCCCAGACAGCCCTGACTGGCTGTGGCTTTCTGGTCCAGCACAGAGCTTATCTGGTCCTCCAGGGAGACAGACAGCGTGACTGTCTGCCCGGTGTACCTGCCAGCGGATCAGCACGGAGGTGGTGGTGTGGGGCGTCACCGAGAGGATGGTGGGTGCTTCGTCGGGGGCTGGGGAGAGAGGCAGACAGGTGAACTCAGGACCCGCAGGGGGATCCATGGGGACCAGATCATGCAGACATTGGAGGGCCAGGGCAGCTCCGAGTAAGCCACCCTCCCTTCCCCAGGAGCCCACATTCTGCAGAAGGGCCCCTGTGGAGGGAGAGAGGTCTGGGAACCCAGATGCCAGAGCCCCCTCCACTCTGCCCCCAGAGCCCAGGCCTCTCCTGCTGCTGCGGAGGCTTCCCTCTGATCCCACTCACCATGTCTACTGTGTCCCCCCTTCCCCTGGCCACTCACAGGCTTTCAGAGCTTGTGGGACATCAGAGAAGGAACGGCCTTGAATGGCAACCCTGAGTCCATGGCCCAAGCCTTCCTGGGGCTCTGCTCATGGGGCCCAGATGAGGGTCCCAGCAGGTGTGGTGCCCCTCCCATCTTTGGAGGCCCCTCCCCCAAAGAGAGCAGCAGTGCCGAGGAAGCACCCGTGCAGCCAAGATGAAGAGACCCCGGTGGGGGGTGGGCACTGACCGGCCTGCAGGGTGGTCAGTGATTCCGACTCCTCACTGAACTCACTGTCCCCAATGTCATTGGTTGCCTTCACCCGGAACTTGTAGGATGTGAAGGGCTTGAGTCTATGGGAGAACAAAGGTCCAGTAACGGCGTTGCCCCCAACCCCAATCTCTTTGATCTATCCCTGGTAGGGGTCAGGGGTAGGGGGTCCATCCCACCACACAGACGGGAGCATGGCGACTCAGAAGGGAGCTCTGCTACCTAGGGTACAAACTGGGACCAGACTCCAGAGGTCCTGATGCCCCGGCTGCCCCCTCCAACCAGCCGGCTTGGGGTGTGGCTCCCCTTCAGCAATGGTAAGGGGTCCCCAAAAGGAAATGGTCATGTCTTTCCAACCTCAGAGGACCATGTGGCTGTAAGAATACCAGAACTGCCCAGTCTGTGCAGACTCCTCCCTCCCACACCACCATCTGCTCTAGACTGTCTAGAGTTTAGGGAAGTTAACCAGCACCTTGTCTCTATTTGCCTCATTTCCTCCCCAGGAAATGTCTTCCCTTTTGATTTATCGGGGGGAAGAGGACGAGGGAAGAATTGATCAACACTCCTGGTCACGTCAGCTGGCATGTAAAAAATACAGCCCGCTAGGACTGAAGCTCGAGCCGGAACTGCGGTGTGAAGCTCCTCTCCCCCGCTAAAGATGGAGAGAAAAACGATGCCTGGCTGGCAGGACTCCCTAATGAAGGGTGGCCAGCACTTCACTAAAGCAGGACTGCGGACTCCAGAAACAGATAATTAAGAGGCTCCGGAGAGAGGGGCAGAGGGAGGAGAGGGGAGGAGGGAGAGAGGGAGGGAAAGAGAGTAGGATAGAGTTGTAGGGGGTGAGAACGGACTGAGAAGGCACCTGGGTGATGCTGAGCTCCGGGAGAGAGGGTGAGAAGGTCAGAGAGGAGAGGGAGAGAGGAGGGGGGAGAGAGAGAGAGAGAGAAAAGGAGTGGGGGAAGAGAGGGGGAGAAAGACAGGGAAAGAGGAAAAGAGGAAGGGAAGGAGAGAAGGGGAGGAGACTGATTGATTAGGATAGAACCGTAGGGGAATGAGAAGAACTGGGTAAATTCCCTGGGTGACGCTGAGCTCAGGGAGAGAGGAAGAGGGGGTGAGAGGGAGAGGAAGGTGGGGAGAGAGGGAGATTGGTTGACTGACTGGGCTACAGCTGGGAGGCGACATGCATGGACCAGGTAGGCTCCTGGGTGACGCTGAGCCGAGGAAGAGATTTGGGGAGCCCAGACTGGAGGTGTTCTCAGAAGCCCTCCCCAGGGGACCATCAGGCTGGGAGGGGTGGAGGGGAGATGCTGCGCAGCCGGGCCTCACCTGTCCACCACGAAGGAGGAGGCGTTGTGGCTGACGGAGGCCGAATGCAGCGCCCACCGGCCGCTGGGCAGCTCGCGCATCTGCACGGTGTAGTAGCGCACAGGGGACAGCCCGTCGCTGCCCGGCTCCCAGGACAGCAGCACGCTGCGTGCCTTCACGTCCTCCTGCTGCACCACCGGCTTGCTGGGTGGCTGCGGGCGGGCTGGGGACAGCAGAGGGAAAGAGGTGAGCCAAGGTAGCCAGGCCGGCAGCGCTGGGCCGGGGTGGGGTGGGGGTGTTCCGGGCTCAGACCTGGCCCCCCATCCTTGTCCCATGCACACAGGTCCTGCTGGAGCCCAGGTGCCTGAGAGGGCAGCCTGTGACTGAGGACTGCCAGGAAGGAGGCAAAGACACCCAGCTCCTTGTCCTGCCATGACAATGGGGACCTACGCTGTCCCAGATTGAGTGGGACTGACCCAAGCTTCCCTCTGTGGGACTTGCTTTGTACCTCACTCTTGCTTGGGGTTCTTCCCTAGCCAGCCTCACTCCCCCAGGCTCTCTGAGGGCTGCCCAGCTGCGACACTGACATTTGGGCAGGATCATTCTTTGCAGTGGGGGCTGTCCTGTGTATTGTAGGATGCTGAGCAGGCTGGTCATGTACCCACTAGATGCCAGTAGCAGCCCCCCAAGTTGTGAAACTCAAAAATGTCTCTATACATTGCCAAATGCCTCTTGAGGGGCAAAACAGTTGACAACCCGTCCTACCAGTTTTCTTTTTGCGGGGGGAGCTATGTGGCATTTCCTAATAAATCCCTTTCATGCAAATCCGGTGTCTCAGGCCTACTTCAGGGAGCCCAACCTTGGTGAGCTGGCAGCTCAGGGTAGCCAGGACTCCAGATCCTCCACCCAACTGGATGAGGTGGTGGGGAAGAGGAGGAGGGTCACCTCCCGTCCCTCTAGAAAACCTGTCACTGGGGCAGCCAGAGTAGGCTCCTCAGGAAGGGAGCCTCACAGCTCAGCTCTGAAAGCCCACTGGAGCCCTCATTGACCTTGACTTTATAGCCTGAGCCCAATGTCCACTCCAGACCAGGGGCCATGTGACTGATAACTAGCTGATCCCCAGTTGTCCACTCTAAGGGGCTCTGAGCGTCTGGGTTGGCTGGGGTGCTCCCTCTGCTGCCCCCAGGTCTCCCAGCTCCTGGGGGGCAGTCACCTCTCTTCTCTGTGGTCACCACCAAAGCCTCAGCGGCCTCTCCCCAGCCCTTGCGGGTCTGGGCCGTGATGCGGAACAGGTAGACGGCCTCTGGCTTGAGGCCGGTGGCCGTGTACTGGCGGGCGCTGGGGGCCAGCACCTCCACGTTGGCGGTGTTAGCTGTGGTGGTGTTGAGCCGATGTGTGATCTGGTAAGCTGTGGGAAGGAAGGAAAGAGGTCACTCTGGGAAGCAGGACACGCTGCCCTCCGAGCCCTGGAAAGGGGGATTCTTTAAGGGCTTCAGGCCATGGGATGTCTTCCTTCCATGTGGCTGTGGTCCTCATGGCTACCCTGGGGAGTGCGGACCATGTGGGACATGGACAGGCGCCATCCACACAGGGTCTCTGAGCCCCCTAACAGCCCCAGGTGAGGAACCAGAGGCTGGGAGAGGCCAGACCTCACTGCTAGAAGGTGACTGAGCTGGAATTCCAGCTGTGGTCTCTCCTCCCCACACCCCACTCTCAGAGAGAAGGGTTCGGAGGTGTGCCAGCTGTCTGAGGCAGGTATTGCAGGACACAGGACTGATAGTCCCGGAGCACGGGCAGTCCAATCCCACCATCTTACAGGTGAGGGGGCTGAGGCCACCAGGGAGAACCCACTTGCTCACCCAGCCCTGTTCTTGGTAGGCTGGTGGGGTGGGGGTGGGTGTGTGTGTGTGTGTGTGTGTGAGAGAGAGAGAGAGCGTGAGAGAGACAGAGAGCGAGAGAGAGAGAGAGAGCGTGAGAGAGAGAGACAGAGAGAGACAGAGAGAGAGAGAGATGATCTGCAGCATCCCCCTTCCACATGCCTCTGGCTCTGTTCCCTGCAGCTGACTGTGTTGAGCTGGCCTGCATACCCTCACCCAGCCACACTTCGGAACAGCAGCCGAGGTATGCCAGATGGCCCACTGGCATTTGTGGGCACCAAGCCAACCAATGGTCCTTAAGGGACTTCAACCCTGGCCTTGCCCTCCGCAGATAATCTTAGACCAAGACTTCTAGCCAGAGAAGGAAGACTCAGATACGGTTCTCAGGGAGATACAGACACTTCCTGGGCCCAGGCGCCCTCCTGTCAACACCGAATTTGCCTCCCTGATACCTCCTCTTTCCTCCTGTGGCCAGGGCACAGGGGCTGGGCCGGGCAAAGATGAAGGCTTACCAAGAATGATGCCATTGGGGGCGGCGGGGGGCTGCCAGATGAGCCGCACTGATGTGGTCCTCACCTCCGGGAACAGGATGCCCATGGGTGGTCCTGGGACTGGAGGGGACACAGAGGCGGACAGTGAGACGGCTGCCCAGCCCCCGCCCCGGTCTGGCTCCAGCAGAACAGCTGGCCGGGCAGGATGGACAAGGGGCCACCCAGCTCAGTGGGTTTGTGCTGGGTGCTGCTCTGCGCCTGACACTGAGCTAGGAGCTAGGGCTGCGAAGATGGATTTGGTGAGATTTCTACTGTCAACCCAGGCATCAGTTGGCAGCAACCAGAAGGGTCCCAAGGCCCCTGCTTCCTTGTACATGCTGGGCAAGAGGGTCCTGGCCTGCCCTGTACTTTAGAAGGTCTGGCTCTGACTCCTCCTGTCATGCCTTGTGCCCCTCCCCATGGGGTGAGGTATCTGTGGGGCAAGGGGATGCACCCACCCTGAGCCCACCACCCCTCCCTGGCTCTGGAATCCCGGAACCCTGCAATTCTCTGCCCAGGCATCCCCAAACCCACTTCCAGGGACTGCACGAGCCTCTTCCCCAGACCCACTCTCCTTTGGTAGACTGTGCCATTGGTGTGTGCACCCCTGGACCAAGCTGTTTTTTGAGGCGTGGATGGAGACTGAACAGTGTGGGACAGAGGGGAGGGAGGGAAGAGTATGGGGCAGGGTCGGCTGGGGGCTAACTCTTCCTAGGTTGCCACATGCCAGCTCAGACGGCCAAGAAGTCTGAGAATTCTCAATTTGAACTTGGCTTTCCAGGTCATTAGCAGGGTGTATTTGTCAAGGCAGGAGAATAGAACATATTTAATAGTTCTTTAGCTTGATTTATAACTTAAAATGCATAGACATATGGTCTATGGGCTTCCTTTGGCACTCTTGTCTGGACCCTGCGAATATTTGTGGTGGGCAGCATATGGGTATGTGCATGGGGAGAAGTGGGGTGCCAGGACACAGCTGCCTGTAGGGGGTGTTCTGCTGTAGGCATGAACGCAGGGACCTGACTGGCATCTCTCTCTCGCAAGAAGGACCAGAAGGCTCTTGTGCCACAGAAAAATCAAGTCTTCCCCTTTTGCGGCCCTTTACTCAAAGTCACTGCCCCAGGCAGAAAAGCAAACAAAACAGATGCTAAGTTCCTATTCTGAACATGTGTCCTGGAGACACTGCAGAGACTGAGTTGGATGTCAAACTGTCCTGTGTTGTCACTCCTTCCCTAGCATCCCTTGCAGTGGGGTCGGAGTTTCTTGGTGGCGCAAATGGTTACGTGTTCGACTACTAGCTGAAAGGTTGGCAGTTCCAACCCACCCTGAGGTGCCTCAGAAGAAAGTCCTGGCGATCTGCTTCTGAGAGATCACAGCCATGAATGTCCTATGGAGCACAGTTCTACTCTGCACACATGGGGTCGCCATGAGTTGGAATTGACTCTACGGCAATGGTTGGCTCCTGGCTGCAGTGGGGTCAGATGCCCTTTAATGACGCCCCCTGAACTTCCCCATGCTGGCAGGATCTGGACTCACCGTCATCCAGCGTCCGCTCCAGGATGGGTGGGTGGCTGGGGCTGCCATCGCCCATGCGTGTGAAGGCCAGCACCTGGACCTCGTAGAGCACGTATTTGCCCAAGCCTGTGAGCTGGGCGCTGCGCGAGGAATTCCCTTCCACCAGCCAGAAGCGGGGATGGGCATCAGAGTCCTTCTCCTTATACATCACCTGCCAGAGCCCAGCGCAGGGAGGCGGATGAGGACCTGGGGTCTGGCCCCTGCAGTGCCTCTCCTGAGTCCCATCCCCAGAAGCGTGGTGGGCAGACTTGGGCTTTTTGGTTTTTTGGGTGAAAATAAACACAACAAAACGTACAGCACTTCAACAATCTCTACATGTACAATTCAGTAACATTGGTTACATTCTGCAAGCTGTGCCAGCTTTTTCAATAGCCTTTTCCAAACCATTTCACCATCATTGACACACACTCACTGCCCCCTAAGCTTCTCATCTATCCTTTCGAGTTGCTGTTGTCAATTTGATCACACATAGATAATTCTTTAAAAAATCATAATGCTTCATGCAGACGTTCTTTTCTAATTAGGTGAGATCATTACTTGGTTAGGAGCCCTGCTGGCACAGCGGTTAAGCGCTTGGCTGTTAACCGAAAGGTCAGCAGTTCAAATCCACCAGCCGCTCCTTGGAAACCATATGGGGCAGTTCTCCTCTGTCTTATGAGTCGCGATGAGTCGGAATCGACTCGATGGCAATGGGTTTGGTTTTTGGTTTATGATTTGGTTAGGAGCCCTGGTGGTGCAGTGGTTAAGCACTTGGCTGCTAACCGAAAGGTCAGTAGTTCGAACCCATCAGACACTCCACAGAAGAAAGATGTGGCAGTCTGCTTCCTAGAAGATTACAGCCTTGGAAACTCCATGGGGGCAGTTTTATTGTGTCCTATAGGGTTGCTATGAGTCGGAATCGACTTGAAGGCAACGGGTTTTTATTATTTCGTTCGAAGATGACTTCAGGGGATAGTTTTGGTGCAAGGTTTAAAGATTTCCTCAGGGTGACAGTTCTGGGGGTCATCTGGCCTCCATGGATCCAGAACAGACCTGGGCTCTTTGGAGCGACTTGGCCCCATGGGGAGGTGGGGTAGTTTCAAAGCTAGTGCTGCAGGAGGGCTAGGGACAACCAGATGGGCTAGAGTCAGAGCTGGAAGACTCCCTGGACAACACCCAGGTGGGAAGCAGGCCCAGGAGGGGTGAGCGTGCTGAAGGCCACATCCCCCGATTTCCAGACAGGCTAGACCACGTGCCTAGGCGAAGCTCTGGGAAGAGTTCTAGAAGGTAATGGAGACGGAAACTGGGCCCATGAGAGCTGAGAGTGAGGCCTGGAGCACCCAGCTCAGCCTCCAAGGAGGAGGAGCAGCCCCAAGGGTGCTGGACCCTCCTGGAAGCCTCCCCAGCCCTAGAGGAGAATGGTGTGGGGCTTCCCTGGAGTGCCTGGTTGCCATGGAGACCAGTAGCTGGAGGCCCCAGGCAGATTTTCTGTGTCCAGGAGGCAGAGGCCTGGGCCCAAGGAGGGCACAGGGACACAGCGCCTGGGGTGGAGAGGCTGGGGGAGCTGGTGCAGACCCCAGCCTCCTCCTCCGAGGCTGAGACTCACCTTATAGCCCAGCACAAGCCCGTTTCGATCGGCTTCGGGGATCTCATTCCAGCGCACCAGCATGCTGCTGGAGGTGGTGGCCAGCGCTGACACGTTGGTGGGGCCAGAGGAAGGGACTGTGGGAGGAAGGGATTGGAGAGGAGGAACTCAGCACCCCACGTGGACCCTCCTGCGGAAGGGAGATGGAGCAGGACCCTGCCCACTCTCTGGAGGAAACACGGCACAAATGGTCCCCAAACAGCAAATGACCCTATTAGGGTTTCTTTTGGCTCCGGGATGCTGTAGACGCTGTTTCTGGTTTCAGATTTGCCCTCCCGATTATCCACTGCTCAGGCTAACATGACAATGAGTTTGCACACACCAAGAGCACAGGAGCCACTGGGGTGAAGAGGGACCAGGCTGTCATGTAAAAGGTGCTAGGAAAAAGTCACAGGGTGGTGAGCTGCACGGGAGGGCAGCTTAGGCTGGGGGCTTGTGTTTTGTGGATGACCCCTATGAGCAAAGGAATCATTTCTAGAATGTTCTGAGAGTAAGCCCTTCCCCGATGTCCCATCTTGGGCCTTCATACACCATGGGGTGTCCGGGTTGAAGCTGAGGGCTGAGAGGTGGGCAGTTTGGACAGTTGAGGCTGCCTAGCTATCCTGGAGAGGTGGGGGACCTCCCACTTGGGGAGCAGTGGGGGCTGGGCTGGGGACCAGCTGCAAGAAGGAGCAGGTGCGGGGGGACACGTTGACGTGGAGGAGCACTCTACTGTGATGCTGTGTGCAAACAGAAAAATGAGCTTGGGCTATTTTGGGGACAAGGTCCAGCCGTTTGTGCCCTTGGATGGCCCTGATGGCAGAGCCGGGGGAGTCACGGGGGCTGCCGCGTGGGGGCTGACCTGACTCCCGGGTCCTGCCCAGCACCATCTGGCTCCAGGGCCCGCTGCCGATGGCGTTGAAGGCCTGGACCTGCACACGGTACTCGGTCCACTCCTCCAGGTCCTCGATGGTATACTCCCGCTCCACGCGGTCGTGGACCACGTGGCTCAGCGTCTTGCCGTGGCCATCGGACTGGCTGTACTTGATCTTGTAGCCCACAGACTCGGGGTTCCCATTGTATTCCATTTCTGGGAGGGGCTGCGGCAAGACAGGGGCAGGAGGCTGCTGCCAGGCCAGGCCTGACCCTGATTGTGAGAACTGCCCTGGGCGAGCAGGCGCTGGTGCCTCCTCTTCCAGGGAGCCTTCAGGGTGAACACCACCCACTGTCCAACCCTCAGCACCCATGTGAGGGGCTCTCACCCCAGGTGTGGATCAGACTGTGTAACTGTGTTTCTATGCAGTCTGTCTGCCCGTCTCTTCCATCGGGCCCCCACAAGAGCACGTCATCTTGTTTTTTTTTGCATCTATTCTTTATTGTGGAGTCCCTGGGTGGCACAAATGCTTAAGCACTCAGCTACTAGCTGAAACGTTGGAAGTTCGAACCCACCCAGAGGCACCTCGGAAGGAAGGCCTGGCAATCTGCTTCTGAAAGTTCACAGCCTTGAAAACCGTAGAGAGCACTTCTACTCTGCACACATGGGGTCGCCATGAGCTGGAATCGACTCGACAGCAAGGAACAATAACAACAGTCTTTATCATGGCTGTGAAGAACTTACTACCCTGCCATCCACCAACCAGCCAGGAGACTCGTAAAGGTTGTCTGTCTAACAGCCATAAGCACAGCCACTGTTGGCCCCGGCTCCCTCTACCACTTCTGTCCCTTGGTCAGGTGGCCAACACACACTTATTTTAATTGCCTACAACACTCCTGGTCTCAGCTCACGCCTGCCCTTGGAGAAGCAAGCATGGGGAGAGGGCATCCTGAGCAGGGATGGGGCACCAGCCACTGTCAGGAAGTCCTTCCTCCCAGCAGAGCTGGGTCTCTCCTGCTGCACTTCCAGCCTCTTTCTTGTTTGCGTCTCAGCAAGGAGAAAACACAGATCCCTTTCCTGAGCCTGATGCCTAGGTTGGTGGGGCTGCGGCTACTGGTTCAAGGTCTTTTGGATGACCTTGGGCGGTGCTGATAAGCAGTCGAGGGGTGTGCACGTTGGAGGTAGTCTATGATGTGAGGTGAGTGTGAGCCGAGAGCCTGGCCTTCAGGTTCACCTCTGAAGGTGATGGAGCTGCGGCTGGGGTGCCTGCAGCCCTCACTGCATCCCCACGCCTCACCCTCCGATTCTGCCTTCCTGGGGACCCCAAGAGTCCATGGTGGACACGCTCCCCATGTCCTGACCCACTTTCTCCTGTTCCTCCCTTGTAGCCCCCACCTCCCCCGCCCACTCCCAGCCTCAGCTCCCACAGGGACTTGGTGAAACGGACCAGAGGCCATTAAGACAGCCATCGATGGCCTGGGAGATGCAGCTGGATCGAGCTGCACGCTCCTGTACCTGCTAAGGAAAGGTAACGGGCCGTGCACTGTCAGCTGGGCTGAGAGGTGTCTGGGACCCTAAGAAGCACAGCTATTGCCTTTTTGATGCCCCCTCCAGCCCCCCTGAATCTTAGACTCTTTAACCTTTCAGTATTTGGAATCCTTAAAGCAAGATGGAAGGAGGGGGAGCCAGCTTGAAGGTGGAGGAGAGCAGAGCTCGGAGTCAGCTAAGAGATGGGCAGGGAGGTGAGGGTGCTGGTCACAGGAGGTCGTGTGTGTGCTGGGTGGTCCTGGGGCCCTCGAGCCACAGGGTTGGGCCGAAAGACAGCTCTGCTCAGGGAGCCAGCCACTCCGGGAGGGAAGGCATAATTAACACCTGACGGTTATCCAGGGCTGACAGTGCCAAGTACTTCCCTAGCTGTTAAATCCTTTTATCAGAGTCCTGGTGGCGCAATGGTTACGCGCTCGGCTGCTAACCGAAAGGTCGGCAGTTCAAACCCACCAGCCACTCCGCAGGAGAAAAGATCTGGCAATCTGCTCCCGTAAAGATTGCTGATGTTAGCTGCCGTCAAATCTATTGTGACTCCTAGTAACCCCACGTGACAGAGGAGAACTGCCCCATGGGGTTCCCTCGGCTGTAATCTGTCACCTTCAGAGGTGGATCTGAAGGCCAGGCTCTCGGCTCACACCTGCCTCAGATAACAGACTGCCACCAACGGGCACACCTCCTCTGCTTATCAGCAGGGCCCAAGTTCATGGGCAACGGATTTGGTTTCATTTTGAGGAGTCTGGGTGGCGCAGATGGTTAAGTGCTTGACTACTACCTAAAAGACTGGCAGTTCGAACCTACTCAGAGGCACCTCGGAAGAAAGGCCTGGCGATCTGTTTCTGAAAGGTCACAGTCATTGAAAACCCTATGGAGTGCAGTTCTACTCTGCATACATGGGGTCACTATGAGTTGGAATCAAGTCAGCGGCAACTGGTATGGTTTGGGTTATTGCAAGATTACTGGGGGGCGGGGGTGGGAAGGGAGGTTAGTGAAATAAATGCAAAATGCCTGGCATACGGCAGTCTCAATAAATACTGCTTTCTACCTCCTTCCTCTCTGTGGGGCTTTTGGTCATTGGGCTAATAGATTATCAGACACCTGGCCAGGTGCAAGGAATAAAGAAAAGAAAAAGGAGTCATAGGTATCCTGAAGGCACCCCTTTGATGCCCCCAGGTGACGGCAATTTTGCAGGGTGACGAGGGTCAAGAAGATGTCCTCTGCCACCCGTTGCCTCTGCGGGAGCCTTACCATCCAGCGGAGCCACAGGCTGGTCTCACTGGCCGTGCGCAAGGTCACGTTGGCTGGCGCCATGTCAGGGGGTGCCTGGAGGGTCTGGATCTTTCGGGAAGGCTGGCTGGGTGGGCTGGTGCCCACGATGTTCACCTGGCGCATGCGGAAGCTGGGGTTGGGGGAAGGGGTGAGCAAGATGGTGAGGGCTGGAGCCCAGAGCCTTCCGGTCGGGGTGGCCCTCCTTGGCCCCGGGCAGGTGCTCCCCGCCCTTGTCCTGCCTGCATTACCTGTAGTAGGTGAAGGGGTTGAGGTCAGGCACTTCCATGGAGCGGGCGTCAGGCTCGTTGGAGAGCTGGTGGATCAGCTGCCACTCCTCTCCCTCCCCAACGATGCCCACCTGGAAAAGCCAGGGACCCTTAGACCCCTTGGCCGAGACGGGGGTGCCTGCCCTGGAAAGCTCTCGATTCAAATCCCAGGGCTCACCTGAATAGCACCCAGTGGGGCCATCACCTTCCCAGGCCCTTAAAGGGATCATTTCTTAGAGTGTCACCCCGAGACCTCCTGCATCAGCGCCTCATGGGGTGCTTGTCATGAACACATTCCTGGGCCCTACCCTGGACCTATCCAACCGGAATCTCGGAAGGGGGGCACCCAGGAATCTGTGTTTTTAACAAGCTGCTTGGGTGATTCTCCTAAACACCCTGCGGGGGGCGGGATGGGGGCCTTCTAAACTCCCAGGCCGCCCTCAGAGCAGTTAAATCAGAACCAGAACCTCGGGACAGGGGTGCTCAGGCAGTGGAACTTCTGCAATCTCCCCCGGTAATTCCAGGTGCAGCCGAGTCTGGGAGCGCCAGTTTAAAGGGCTGCAGGTGACAACTGGTAAGTTTTCCAGGCCAGCCAGCACTTGTCCCATCCTGGGAGGGGCTGTGTGTGTTCAGGTGAGGCAGAGGAGTGGGAGGTAGAGGGAGCGATGGAGAGTATTGGGAACTGTGGGCGTTTTGGCATAGCTGACCAGAGGCGGATGAAACAGTGGGCAAGGTACGCACGGGTTTACAGGAAGCAAGGTACGCACGGGCTTGCCTGCGCTTACTGACTAATCTGTAGTGCACAATTTCACATCAAAGATGTGGTAGAAAACAGGTGAAGCGGAGCACTACAGATTAGTCAGCAAGCAAAAGTAAGCCTGTGTGTACCTTGCTTATTGAGTAATGCATGAAAATTCACACCAGTGTAAATGCCCGGATAGCTTTGCACTCAAGAGCAGGCCACGCCCAGGGCTGAGGAGCTGGCTGCCCGGGCCGCCCGGGCTCCAGGGCCCCCTCCCGCGGCCTCACCTGGGCCTCCACCAGCCAGCGAGAGATGGAAGTTTTCCCATCGTAGCCGGGTCTGAACTGCAGGGTCACAGAGCGGGGGCCGATGTTGGAGATACCCAGGTTGGTGGGGGCCCCTGGGAGTTCTGGAAAACAGGCAGGAAGGGAGATGGGGTGAGAAGAACGTCCTCGCACATCAGCAGGGCTTGCTGAGCACGGAGGGGGCTGTGTGTCACACTCTTCCCCTCCAAGGCTCACTTCCTTCCGGAAATGCCCTAAGAGGAGCGTGGCCAAGTTTAATCCCAGCAATGCAGTCTTTGGTCCTGTGTCCTGTGGTGCACCGTTTATGCCAGGAGTCTGAGACAGATTTGGGGACCAGGGGATCCCCCAGGGCTGAGGGTGGGGGTGCTGGGACCACATGGGGCTTCCATTCCTGGTGGTTCTGGATGTTAGTGAGATGCCTCACAAGGGAGCTGGAGGCTGCACAAACTTGAGCTGGGCTCAGAAGGAAACCGAACGGAAGTGGTCCTCCCCTGCATCCCCGTCCTGCTGCCCAACAATGGCAGAGGGAAGCTGGAGGAGGGGCAGCGGCAAGAGGCAGCCCCCTCTTTTCCAACCAGGGAACCCTGGGGCTCTAGGGGCTGAGAATGAACAGAAAGGAGCATGGATTCCGGAGCTGGACTGTCTGAATTTGAGTCCCTTCCACTGTCTATAGGCTGTGTGTCAGTGGGGAAGTTACCTAACCTCTCTGCCTCGGCGTCCTCCTCTGCAAAATGGCGAGGATACCAATTAACACCGACCTCACGGTTGTTGTGAGGAATAAATGAGTTGACGTATAGAAAGCTCCGAGCTCTGTGCCTGGTGAGCACAACGTAAGTATTTGTCAGTATTACTGCTATTATCACTCGGGTGGATGGAAGCTCGGTACCTCGGCCATCACAGCAGGCAGGTCAAGGGATTCTGGCCAGGTCATATTAGCATAGCTTACTGATCTGGACGGGACCAACTCCCCAGGTTTACAGATGAGGAAGCTGAGGCACAGAGGGCCCACCTGCCTTGCTCAAGGTCTCAGAGCTTGGCAGAAGCAGAGCTGGGACCAGACCTCAGCGTGTTCTTTATGCCAGGCCTAAGGTTATTCTCAGCAGTCTGCCACCTCCCCAGCCAACAATTACACTGGCCGGAACTCCACTTGGACTTTCTGGGCAACAGTGAAAATTCTTCCCCTGAATCACCGAAATGTTCCCTGATGTAGCACCTGGCGTGGGGTGGGAGAGTAGAGGGAGGGGATGGTGGGGTGAACAAGACAAGAGCAAGGTCCTCAGGGGTCCATGCTTTTCAGAGAGCTGGGGAGGGGCGCAGCAGGGAGCCCATGGAGTCTCTGCCCAGAGGGCTGGAATCATCGGAATTACAGCCTGTTCTGGGGAGGACCCAAGACAACACAGATCACCAGGGCAGGAGAGAGCTCCATGGGAAGAAGGCCAGTGTTCCTGGCAGAGAAGGGGCCCCTTGAATGGGGCTGTGGTCAGGAGAGCAGCAAGGACCACGAGCCCTGCCCTGAGACTGGGCACTTACCTGGAGGCACCCCAGAGGAGATGGTTGAGGCGGACACCTGGCCCTGGCCCTTCGAGGTCATGGCAGCCACCTCGATGGTGTAGGTGGTAAGCGCGGTGAGGCCTGTGACCCGGTACTCCAGGGTGATGTTAGGCAGGTAGTGGGTCACGCGGGTATTGGTCCTGTTATACTCCTCCCAGGAGATCCGGTACCCTGGGGAAAAACAAAACCCAAACCAGTTGCAGTTGAGTCAGCTCCAACTCCTGGCAACCCCATGAGTGTCAGACTAGAATTATGCTTCATAGGGTTTTCAATGGATGATTTTCCAAAGTAGATTGCCAGGCCTTTCTTCCGAGGAGCCTCTGGGTGGATTCAAACTGCCAACATGAGAACTTCTCAGGTGTGGTATGAGCTTGGCTGTGGCCATCAGCTGGCCTTGACCTCTCTGGGCTTCTCCTTAAGCTCCTCATGTCTGTACTACGCTGGCAGTCAGGTGTGTGCAGGGAGAAGGGGCCGAGGGAGGTGGAAGCTACTGGCATCACGCCTGGGGCACCAGGTGCGGCCTCAGTGGATGCCACCATGGTGGTGACCACAGGAGATGGTAAATGTCACGGTGGCCACTGGAGGCTTGTGGTTGAGGGTCTGGGGTGTGCCGAGGTGCCGAGAGCCCTCTCTGAGTAGTTTCTAAGAAACAGGGAGGGTCTGGATGGAAACTAGCTCAATGGCAGGGGACTGGACGAGATGACCTTCACCCTGTCCCGCCCTCAGATTCAGTTAACCCCAGGATGTTACCTGTCAGGATGCCGTTTTTCTCCCCGGGCTCCTGCCAGCTGACCTTCAGCGAGGTGTCCAGGATTTCATTGAAGCTCAGGTGTCCCACAGGCCCAGGCACTGTACCCCAAGAGTCCCCCACCCCACCCAATGCCAGTTAGAGCCAGAGGGAGACCAGCATCTGCCAGACAGCCCGTAGGGTCCCAGGGGCATCATGCTATAGGGTGACAGAGGAGACCAGGCCCGCTCTCTGTCCAGGGCACCCAGCCTGGCCCTGGGTGGGTGGGTGGCTAGGTGGGAGAGCAGCGAGAGCCGGGGATGGGGTGGTGCCTACCATCCTCGTGGGTGCGCACCAACTGGGGGGTGCTGCGAGGCCCGTCTCCAGGGGTGGTGAAGCACAGCACCGAGGTGAAGTATTCAGTGAACTTCTTCAGGCCCGACACGAAGCCCACATGGATGCTGTCTTGAAAGTTGGGCCGGGCGGTCACCATGGTAACCTCCTCTTCCTGCTCTGGCTCCCAGGCGATAAGCTGGGGAGAGGCCAGCAATTCAGGCAGGGCAGCAAGAACGTTCCAGAAGTGGCCACGCCCTATTTCACCAGCTGGGTCAACGGGCAGAGAGTGTCCAGACACCCAGGGCCCTGGGGTCCGTCCCCTCAGGGAAGGGGTAGGCAGTAAAGATTACCCACAGGCCACTGGGGTGTTTGTCCTGGGAGGTCACGTGGGTGTGCTGCATGTTTACTGAGCGGCTTGCTCTGTGCAGGGCCAGTGTCGGGTGCTTTGCATGCATTCTCTGTCACCTGATTCTCACACTGGCCCCACATGGGAGGCATTTTCCTACGTAGTCTGCAGGGATCAGTGCAAAATGAAAATGAGGAACACTTGTTCAAAAATTATTAAGAATTTTGAGATGGTGAGAGCAGAGCATGAAACCAAGCTCAAGGCCCTTCTGAGCAGGGGTCCCGTGTAACTGTACAGGTTGCACCCCAGCAAGCTGGCTGTGTATTTTACAGATGAGGCTCAGAGAGGGTAAGTGACTTACACAATATCACACAGGTAGTGGGAAGCTGAGATTCTGAGCCAGATGTCGCTGAGTCCAACACCTGGCCTCTTACACTTTTCTCCGCATGGGCAGGGATAGCTTCCCCTTGGAGTTTCCAAGGGTCACCCCCTATGGAGTTGGGAATTTTAGTTTGTGGGTTGTTGTTAGCTGCTGTTGAGTTGGCCCCCGAATCATGACAACCCCATGCACAATGGAACGAAATGCTGCCTGGTCCTGCACCCTTCTCATGATCCATGTCTGGCTGTGGATCAGACTCTTATGATTCACAGGGTTTTCACAGGCTGATTTTTGGAAGTAGGTCACCAGGCGTTTCTTCCTAGCCTGTCTTAGTCTGGAAGCTCCACTGAAACCTGTTCAGCATCCTAGCAACGCGCAAACCTCCATGGACAGACAGGTGCTGGCTGTGCTTGAGGTGTGTTGGCTGGGAACTGAACCCAGGTCTCCCACATGGAAGGTGAGAATTCTACCCCTGAACCACCATTGCTCTCTATTGGAGGGTAACTCATTGTTTTTATAAGTTGTCCCAAGCTGGGATTTCAATCTTAAAATCCCCTGGGGGTGGGAGATCAGTAAGAAAACCCATGACAGAAATTCAATGCTTTTTCTTTCACATCCCCTCTGTTGCTGTTGGGTGCCATCGAGTCGGTTCCGACTCACAGCGACCCTGCGTACAACAGAACAGAACACTGCCCGGTCCTGTGCCATCCTCACAATGGTTGAGTCCACTATGGCAGCCACTGTGTCAATCCATCTCATTGAGGGTCTTCCTCTTTTTTGCTGGTCATCTACTTTACCAAGCATGATGTCCTTCTGCAGGGACTGGTCCCTCCTGATAACTTGTCCAAAGTACCTGAGACGAAGTCTCGCCATCCTTGCTATAACCCAAAAACCCAACCCGCTGCTGTCGAGTCGATTCTGACTCACAGCGATCCTATAGGACAGAGTAGAACTGCCCATAAAGTTTCCAAGGAGTGCCTGAGTGGATTCGAACAGCCAATCTTTTAGGTTAGCAGCCATAGCATTTCACCACTACGCCACCAGGGTTTCCATCCTTGCTACATAAAGTGCTAGCTGCCTAGGTCTCCTGCTTCCCCTCCCTGCTCTTCTTGCCTTCTACTCTCTCACCTTATTCTCCTGTTTTCCAGACTCTTCATCTGTCTCCACAATGACAGTTGGTTTCAGAGATTTCCTCATTTATCTGAAGTCGATTAAAGGGCAATTAATGGTGAAAAGCAACACTTGATGAGTTTTAATAAGCATGGGTATTTATAGATATAAAACAATACCACGCCAATGTCTCCTGATTACCTCGTGCCTCTAACAATGCTTCATCTTTGTCTGTTCATGGCTGCGTGTTTATAAGGGCTGTTTTGAAATTTAATCGGTATTGTGAAAAGATAGCCTATAGCAAGTTAATTAGACACTAATTAGACCCTAAAAATACTAATCAGAAATGCTAAGTGGCATTTAATAAGTATGTTAAATATCCTCATTTCAGTTATCTTGTTTCATAGCAATTAAACTGCTGAACTTCTTTGGAGTAGATTAAGAACCACATTGAATGTTTTAATTTAATTTAATTAATGTAAATTTGAATTAATTATGCTATTAGAATTAATTGTGTGGTGTGTTCCCCAGCAAGTGTAAAATCTGGGTAAATATTATTTTATTGGTTTTAGGTCAATTACAATCACTGTCATTTTTTTTTTAAATAAAGGAAAAAGAGTGTCTTTGCAGATGTCTTAAAACAATATCATAGGGTCTTATCCACAAAAATGACCCAGAAGACGTGTACAAGGTAAGGAAGTCGAGTAATAGTGCAGACTTCATTATTCTGCAGTTCCCTGTCCGAAGCCCAAGATGGCGGCAGGGCTGTGGCTTCCTGTGGCGGCTTCAAAGTACAGTATTTACTCTGGGTTGCGAGTCACTTGCCCGTCTGCAGCTGCACCTGAAGAGGAGGAGGCTTAGGGGTAAGAGGCCTCCCTTCAGGGCCAGGAAGAGAGTAGAATTGCCTTCTATACCTTCTGTTGTCCTAAAAGGGCTGGCTCTGGGCAGCTGTGGGGTGGGTCTCACCTCAGCAAAGCTACCGTTTGTTGAGCTCTTACTTTGTGCCCAGCACTCGGCTAAGCCCATCACTGATCAGTCCCATCTGACGACCACAATGAGGATTCGGTGGGAATCACTGGCCCATGCTGTTACAAAACAGGCAACTGAGGTTCGGAAATATTGAGGAACTTGCGCATGGACACATCGGTGGCCAGCTCCAGATTTGTGGACCCCAAGACCCTTGATCAAGACCCTGCCTCCCAGGCTCCACATAGCTGCTAGGTGTTTGTTAGCGTTTGCCTTGAACTTCTCTGTGGCTTCTCCTTGTCAGTCGGGGTCAGGTGTGGACTGACTCCATTGGATGTCTGGTCTGGGATTCCAAGCGACTGGGCTCCCCTGAGTGTGGCTGAGGTGTGTGGGTGAGTACGTGCTGGGGGAGGAGCATCCTGGGAGGGTCCTGGGACGGGCAGTTCCACCCTAGAGAGCAGAGGCCAGTGAGTCAAACCCTGTAATTGAAGGGTGCTGGCGGTGGTGGTAGTAGTAGGGGTGGTGGTGTGTGTGTTGTGTGTGGGCATGTGGAGGTCGGGGTGGGGGGTTTGGGGATGGGATGTACAGCCAACATGGTAAGGAAAAAGGACACTGTCTTGCAGTCAGCAAACCTGAATCTGAGCCTAGCTCTGTCACTTACTGTGTGATCCTAGGCAAGTCACTCAACCTCTCTGAGCCTTAGTCTATATAATACCAAAAAACCAAACCCACTGCCGTCGAGTAGATTTTGACTCATAGTGACCCTACAGGATAGAGCACAACTGCCTCATAGGGCTTCCAAGGAGAGGCTGGTGGATTTGAACTGCCGACCTTTTGGTTAGCAGCTGATCTCTTAACAACTGAGCCACCAGGGCTCCTCTCTAGATACATATATATATACGTATACTTGCATGGATTCACGTAGAACGCCCTTAAAGGGTATGTAAGAAACCAACAATCGTGGTTACCTGGAGCAGGGAAGTTTTGGGGTTGGGTAGAATAGAACCAGACAGATGGGGGACTAGGGAGGGATGGAGGATTTCTGCTGAGTACCTTTTTACATTTTTAGGTTTTTGAATCATGTAAATATATTTCTTGTTTAAAATATTAAGTTAAAAAAAATACAACGGGGGAAATTTGGCAAAACTAGCAAAATTATGTACACATTTGTCCTTTGAGTCAACAAACTCATTTCTAGGAACCTATTCCAAAGATGAAAATGTGAAACTATAAAAAGATGTGTGCACAAAACCATTCATTGCAGCAAGGTTTTTACTGTAAAAGACTGGAAACAGCCAACATATTCATCAATAGGGGACTGGCTGGCTAAACCACAGGAGACCCACATAATGGAGTACTAGATACAGATGAAAAAATGGAATGAGGAATATCTCTCTATATCCCTATGCAATGATCTCAAAGAGATATTGCAAATTAAAAAAAAAAACAAGATGGAGAAAGAAAACAAGATGGAGAAACAAGATTTAAGAAGGTGTCATGGATTAATTATGTCCCTCAGAAAGATATGTTGAAGTCCTAACTCCTGTACCTGTAAATATGACCCTGTTTGGAAATAGAGTTTTCTTTTGTTATGTTAATAAGGTCATACCAGAACAGGATGGGTCCTGAACCTAATCTCTTCTGAGTGATGTCTTATAAAAAGAGTAGAACAGACATAGACACACACAAGGTGAGACGTCATGTGGTGATGGAGGTGGCATCACCCATAAGGAGCAAAGGAACTCCAAGGATTGCTGGCAATCGCCAGAAACTAGGAGAGAGGCCCACAGAAGGAATTGACATGGAGGAGACTCTGATTTGGACTTCTAGTCTCTAGAATTGTGAGAAAATAAATTTCTGTTCTTTAAAGCCACCCACTTGTCAAGTTGGCATGATATAACTGTCATGGATTGAATCGTGTCCCCCAAAATCCATGTCAACTTGGCTAGGCCATGATTCCTAGCATTGTGTGGCTGTCCTCCATTTAGTGCTCTGATGTAATTATCCTAAGTGTTGTACATCCTAGCCTCTATGCCTGTGGTTATGATTCTGTTTGGGAGTGAGCTGTCTGTTATGCTACTGAGGTAGGACACAAGCTACAGGATTAGGTTGTATCTTGAGGAATCTCTTTTGAGTATAAAAGAGAGAAACGAGTAGAGAGGAGAGGGACCTCATTATCACCAAGCAAGAAGAGCCTGGAGTGAAGCGTATCTTTGGACTCAGGGTCCCAGCATTGAGAAGCTCCTAGACCAGGGAAAGATTGATGACAAGGTTCTTCCCCCAGAGATGACACAGAGAGAAAGCCTTCCTCTGGAGCCGGCGCCCTGAATTTAGATTTCTAGCCTCCTCAACTGTGAGAGAATAAATTTCTCTTCGTTAAAGCCACCCTCTTGTG